TCATTCAGTACTTTTGTCTGAAGATGGTAACAACGCTGAAACGTCACACACTATTTATATATTTGGATTTGGTCTTATTACCTTGTGTTTATAAATAATGAGGGTTCACAACTGATGAGCCAGGCACTCCCAATATTTTCCATTGTGCAGTAAAGGTAATAGCAAGTTATTTTCATATTAAGCATCCATGTTGACCTCAAATAAAATATGGGGATTTGAAGCTGGAGATTAACTATATTATAATTAAATGATTTGTATAGACAATGTATTTAAGATGCTTTTTCGTTAAAAAAAAAAAAAAAAAGACCGACATTAAAGATATTTAAAGACAACTTTAATTAGCAGACGTTAGAGATATTTAAGACAATGTTAAAGGGCAAATGGCCGTTTTATAACACAGAAATATTTATCGTGAAGATAGAGGCTGCCTGGCCGGCATTCATATTTATATTAAAAATAGACACTTCGGCCAGTTGGAGTTTTTTAATCCAACTGGCCGAAGTGTCTATTTTTAATATAAACAGAAATATTTGTAAAACTGTTATTGATCTAACTTTATAGTAATTTTCGGGCTTGTCCGTTTCAGTTTTATGGATAGAACTTTAAAACGGCACAAAATATGGTAAGTATAAATATTTTGTGGTTAAATATCTTACCGAAATTTACTTATGGAATAATTAATTTTAAAACATACCTTTAGCTTAAAAACATTTCTACAAATGATAGATGCCATGATAATTTAAAGGTCTTTCCGAATAAGAGACTCCTTTAAAGATTGAATAAAAGTAAATAAATTGGAAATGGTCAAAGGCTATATAAATCTATCTTCGAAAATTCTATTTGACTCCCCCCCCCCCCTTTTTTTTTTTTTTCTATTCTTTATTTCCCTCTAATTATTAATGTATTTTTTTTTCTCTCTCTTTTTTTTTTATTATCAAATAATAATTTCCCGTTATGTATATAGTATAACGAATAGAATCCACAAATAGAAGAAACGTCACTTGAAAATCTAGTAATTTTACTCAAAATATAATTTCCTATATTTTTATTCTATCGAAATTTACTTTTTATTTTATTGAAGTCTTTTTAATATCAATTCTATCATTTTTTCATCAATCATGACTACTTTTTAAAAAACTAGTTGAATATATAAGCGTGATTGAGTCCTAGCTATCGATTCGAAATAAACATATATTAAAAATAAAAGAAGCATATCCTGACCACAAGCTTTATTTTTTATTTTTTCTATTGTTTTTTCATGAACATATATGTTAGAGGAACCCGAGTTATCTCTATTTACTCTCATATATGTTATTTTATGTCTTTTAAGTTCGAAGGTAATAATAATAAAACTAGATCTTAATAAATACAACTTTTATTTTAATACAATCTCTAGTTATTTATCATTTAACTCTATATAAAATATACATTGATTATATATAGTTTTGATATAGAGGTAATTAGATATATTACCTATCATTTTCTTATGTAGCTCAAATTACTTGATTTAAGAAGAAAAAAAAAAGTTAATTTGACTCTAAATTTTAAAGAAAACATTTTAAATATTTCAAATTTTTATTTTATTTATTTATTTTGTAAAATATTCTTTTAAAATATGAAAAGAGAGGATAATATTTTTTTAATGGATCTCAGGTTTTTTTTTTTTTCCTGTAGCGTATATAGAATGCCTACTGCCATACCCCATTGAAAACGCCGGTTCTTTTGCGTATATTGAATAACTCTAAGCACATTTTTCCACGTAAAGTAACATAGGTAACCTAGTCTCGATTTCACGCTAAATATATTTCATTATTTTTTAATTTAGAATTTTGAGCTCCTTTTCAGAAAGGATCAATAAAATACAAAGCACGTTTCAAAACTTTGTTTGTAAACAAAGTTTTAAAATTTTTAAAAGGTAATAATAAATATATAAATCTAAATTTTAAAAATAATAAAATTATTATATTTTTTTTTTCAATTAAACAAATAGGTACACAAAAGCTTATGATATAGTTGTCTAAACTAAGCGTTCTTTCTAAAAACAATCAAAATATTGAATTATTTTCACGAAGTAAAAGCGTTTTTATTTACAAATACAGTAATAAATTGTCAAAAAGCAACCAGATCAGATTTAGAGACCACTATTAAAATTCTAAAAGGTTATTTTCTTGTTAAAATAATTATAATATATTTAATTGATGTATTTCCCAGCATGATAGGCAACATAAAAGCTCTATACTGTTGTGTTTGGAAAGGAATTATATAATAAACACTGGAGACTACCGATATTTAATTGGACTACTATAAACATATATAACAGTTTATCTTAAATAGACACTTAAATGGGAGATATTAGGACTAGCTATCTATTTTACTATCCCTAGCCTTCTTCTTTCTTATCTCCACTCAACAATCATATCAGGCATGTAGAGTTTGTGATGATGTCTGCTGGGAATGACTAGAGCTCATCAATGGATGAGTCAATACATTTAATGATTTGGAGTTGTAGGTTGAGAATTGCACTTAGTCTTCTTTCTTATCTCCACTGAATCATATTAAGGTATCAAGCTTGAGACTTTTGATGGTGTCTGCCGGGGAAAAGTAGAGCTCATCAATGGATGAGTCAATACAGTCAATAAGGTGCAGGTTGCAGATTGACACTTAGTACATAGTGGGAAAACCTTGCAACCATTCTGGAAAGTCATTGTCCGTAGATGACCAGACTTAAATTTGGAAATCAAAGACTGTTGTTCTCTTGGGAGGACAGAACCGAGCTTGTCCCTCCTGCTCTGTACCAGTCATGTAGAGCAGCACTTAGTACATAGTGGGAAAACCTTGTAACCATTCTGGAAAGTCATTGTCCGTAGATGACCAGACTTAAGTCTGGAAATCAAAAACTGTTGTTCTCTTGGGAGGACAGAACCGGTGCTTGTCCCTCCTGCTCTGTACCAGTCATGTGCAGCAGCACTTAGTACATAGTGGGAAAACCCTGCAACCATTCTGGAAACTCATTGTCCATAGATGACCAGACTTAAGTCTGGTAATCAAAGACTGTTGTTCTCTTGGGAGGACAGAACCGGTGCTTGTTCCTCCTGCTCTGTACCAGTCATGTGCAGCAGCACTTAGTACATAGTGGGAAAAAGCTTGTAACCATTCTGGAAAGTCATTGTACATAGATGTACTGCCGTTCCCTTGGGAGAGCAGAACTAAACCTATCCTTGAAATATGTTAACACTTGACGCTACACCCACAGACTTCAGTCTAAAAACATGGCTAAACCTCATCCCTATTGGAAATGGGCTCTCATCAGAGGTTCTATTTAATTGAAAGACTCCTCATGACATGACAATCTCTGATAAGAAACCATCTCCAGGACCCATGTTCTCTCATGGGTAACTCCACTGTACCATTTCTATCACCATTCCAAATTGTAAGTTTGATCATATTTATTAGCAACAACAAAAAGCCTTTATTTAGGGTCACTAACCCTATACAGGATTCACCAGAGGTATGCATAAGAACAAAGCAGTGAGACAAAGGAAATAACGATATAGACAGAAGAAAAAGAAAAAAAAAATAAGAAAGAGAAAGAGGGAAGCAAGAAAAACAACACAAAAAGAGTGATCATATTTATCACTGTCACTGGTGTCAATCAGCGATATCTATCATATTATTATCCCTAGTACACATGGTACAGGTCATGATAATCATGGTAGGTAGAAGTTAGTGACTGCTTTTACTGTAAGTGCACTACATGTCTACACATGTGAAAAGCAGTTCGACTTTTGCACTTACAAATATGCCAGAGCCCCATTTAATTACTTGCACTCGCTGGTGGAGTTGAACTTTTGCAAGAATCAGGGGCCATTGGAACATTTTTTTTTTTTTTTAATTAGAAAAAAAGTGTCCAATACGGGATTCAAACCCGGGTCATAGCAGTAGAAAACAAACGGTTTAGACCATCCTTCCACTGACCCCCACATCAGGGATATCTAACGCTGTATGACGATGCCATCTGTGTATGTGCAGAGATGGGGAAGCCCAAGAAGAACAGACCATCAGCAGGAAGAAAACCAAAGAGCCACAACAAACCCCCAGAGCCAGAGGAGCTCAAGAAAGCCAGACATGAGATCTACAAACTGAGTATGTCAGGTTCCAACAAGGAAGACAAGGAAATGTTGGCTGAGAAACTTCTTGTCCGACTTGGAGCAAAGGTAAATCAAGTTATTAGATGTTCTAACATTAACTTGTCATTTCCTCCAGTCTAATAATACAATGAAGCTGTTTACAAATCATTCTACACTTGTTGCTCTTCTTATTCCCAAGGCCTAAAATTTGGCATGAAAGTCTTCTTCTTGCTTATCCCTAGTACATGTGGTACATGCCATGATAATCATGGTGGGTAGAAGTTGACGACTGCTTTTACTGTAAGTACACCACATGTCTATACATGTGAAAAGCAGTTTGACTTTGCACTTGACAAATATGCCAAAGCCCCGTTTGGTTACTTGCACTCGCTGGTGGGGTTGGACTTTTGAAAGAATCAGTGGCCATTGGAGCTTTTTTTTTTTCTTAAATCAGAAAAAAGTGCCCAATACGGAATTTGATCCCGGGTCGTAGCGGTTGAAAACAAGACCATCCTTCCACCGGCATGAAAGTAATGATGAAGATTTACCTTCACAATGAGTAAATGCATTATCTGTCATGGATTTTTAGAATTTGAAGCACCTGTTATAGAATAATAAAAAGGCATCTCCTGATTGTCAAAATGTTCATTTTTGCTATTTAGCTGGTAATCTCTCTCTAGAGGACACTTTGCTCTGCAACTAGGTATCGTCCTTTACCAGGTTCTACAGTATAAAGATGGCAAAATTAAGGATTGGAATAAAAACCAGAGGAAATGTTGACTAACTTGATATCTTTTGTTCTCACTATATACTGTTTATTTGATCACCTTGATGGATTCCCATCATTTCAGAGTGGGTTCTTCACTTTTGAAGGTCACAATAATGTCGGTGGAAGGCTGGTTAAACCGTTTGGTTTACGACCACTACGACCCGGGTTCGATCCCCGCATTGGACACTTTTTCTGTTAAAAAAAAAAAATGCTCCAATGGCCCCCCGATTCTTGCAAAAGTCCAACCCCACCAGTGAGTGCAAGTAACCAAACGGGGCTTTGGCACATTTGTAAGTGCAAAGTCGAACTGCTTTCACATGTGTAGACATGTGGTGCACTTACAGTAAAAGCAGTCGCTAACTACCCACCATGATTATCATGGCCTGTACCACGTGTACTAGGGATAAGCAAAAAAAAAACAATAATGCCATTTGTCTCTGTCTCTCTTACCCTCTTTTTCTCCAGCAACCACCACAACTCTTTGTTGTAATGATCTCTTTTATTTCTCTAGCTTCTTGCAAAAGGACAACACCTAGTTACAAAGCCAAAGTATCCTTTAGGGAGAGATGTCCTTCTTACTGGAGAGTTGCATGATAATTTTGGTGATTAGAGAGAAAATTGTCCTTTAAAGAGAAGTGTCCTCTTACCAGGAAGTTGTTAAATAGTTTTTTACTTATCCTTTTAGTCTAAATTAGACAAGATCTTGGAGGTTGTGCTCATAAAGAAGCTCAAGAACTCTTCTTGGTTGTCTGTACAGGGATCTTGTGTGCACGACTCCATATAGGTTATATGCCAGTTACGTTAGAGCGCTGGTTTTATCCAGCATTTCCCCGAGGTCACTTACAGAGGGGTGTAACTTGGACTTTGATCTGGTATCAAATGGCCGCCTCTAACATGAGGAACAGACGCCCTGTGCAGCCGCTCATAACATGGAGAACAGACGCTGCTGATTATCCTGTAACCCAAGGGTAGGAGCCCTTACAGGGTACTATCAGCCGGGCCAGCTGAGCCCAGGTTTTTTAGTGAGATTGTTACTGTTCCCCCTCCTCCTTTCACATCTGGGCTTGGGACTGGCAATGGCGGAGTTGAGCTATGGCTAAATAGTAAAAATGGTCGTTTTGATAATGAAATCTGTCCTTTAAAGAGAAAGTGTCCTCTTACTGAGAGTTGCAAAATTGTAAATCTGATGATGAAAAAACTGTCCTTTCTAGAAAGGTGCTAGAAAGCAAGAGTGTCCTCTTATAGAGATTCTACTGTATATGTTAATACACTTTCCTCCTTTTATTTATTTATTTTTTGTCTCTTTTTAGACCTATCAGATGAATCAATTTATATCTCTTGTAGCTAAATGCATTGCTAAATAATTCTCTTGACATCTTAGTTTATTTTTACTCATATTTAAGTAGGATTTAAAAACTCTATGAGAGGTTTAACCTCCTCCCCCCCCCTTTACACTTGTACCTATATAAACAATTGATCCCATGACTGTGCTGCAGCCTTACAAGAGCAAGGCCGTCAACTACAAGAATCTCATTGAGGAGAAGAGAATGAAAAAACAAGAAGAAGAGGAAGATAGGAAAATGGTAACTTTCCCCAACCATACTTCTGTCTTGTCTGAGATATGTGTTTGTTTAAACTCATGGACAAAACTTAAGGAAGTTTTACTTTTTAGCATGTATATCGGGATATTCAGACAATAACTCTGAAAGATATTACAGTGACCTTTATTGAAGACACACAAGATAACCAAGTGTGTATACACTCATGAACTAAACTTAAGGACGTTGTACCTTTTAGCATGTATATCAGGATTATGACAATAACTCTGAAAGATATTTGATACACAGTGATCTTTATCGAAGACACATGAGATTACCAAGTGTGAACAAAATTACCTGTCTCCTTAAAAAAAAAAATAGACAACCGGTGACAACAAAGACCTTCCACTTCCTTAAGTTTTGTCCATGAGTGTATGATAAGGTGCAAATTTGATTTAAGATCAGAACTAGGAGGTATTAATAAGACCAAATAAATAAATAGTGTGACTTTCAGGTAACAATTTTGTTTATTTATTTGGATTTGGTCTTATTACCTTTAATTTCTAATCTATAATCCAAACTGTACCTTATCAAATGAATAATTCAAAAGTGGAAACCAAGAATTCAGAAATCAATATTGTCATTGTACCTTGGGGAGAGGAATGTACTTTACATTAACTCACATTTGACTTTTGTGTTTCAGAAACTGGAGATGGGAGAGCTGGTTGATAAAAAGAAGAAAATTTTCAGGTATTGTATAGTTTTTTTTCTTATTTATATATAGTAGAACTACCTCCCTATAAAGAACAACACCTAATTGCAGAGCCAAATTGTCCTCTTACCAGAGAGTTGCTAAATAGTAAAAATGGTCATTTTGCAAATGAAAACTGTACTTGTGTAGAAGTGTCCTCTAGCGGGAGTATCCTCTCATGGAGGTTTTTTTTTTTACTGTATAGTAAAACCCTGCTAAAATGAACCTAGGATATAGCAAACCCTCCCTTATAACGAATTTTAAATAATCCCTATTTTTATTTTATAATTCAGTAAACTATGGCTAAAACAAACCATGGATAAAGTGAACCACAGGTTCAGTCCCATTGGGGTTTGCTATAGAGGAATTTTGCTGTATATACAAAAAAATATATTAAATTTTTTTAATTAACGAGAGTGTAATAAGTGAAGTGTGTCAATACAATTTACTATAAATATACAAATTTTTAAAATGTTTTTAAAATTTGTGTACAATGATGATCAAAAACTATTCTAAAAATATATATATTTTTTAATATCCTAACATATGGTAATCTATAAAAATTTGTTTAATTAAAAAGGCATATATTGGGTCAAAAATTTTTTTATTCATTTACTAATATTTCAGTCCTTTTATCAAGGGATAACAATATATGTTGTAATACTGTGAAAAAAGTTGGCATTCAGCCAACTGAAATATTGATTAATAAATAATTTTTTTATCCAATATATGCCTTTTTTAATTAAAGATCTATTTATAGATTTGCTCTATTTTCAAAACGATATAAATTTGTGTTTTGTTTTTTTCCAGGAAACAGGATAAAAACTGGGTGACCAACTTTGACAAAGATTTTGGCCATACAAAAAAGAAAACTATGAAATGAACAACTCATTATCTTTATTTTCTTTGTAAACTCAACATATACTGTACATAGATGTAATTGCATATATAAATACTCTGTTATATTTATATGTAAATATATAATCAGGACTTTCCTTGAATATGGAGAAGTTTATAAACCTTTCTAAAGTTTGAATCAAATTTCTAAAATGTTATAGATAAATAAAATCTATTTTCTTTATCAAAAGTTTGGTAACTCTTAAAAAGTTCTATATTTTTTGTTATTATGATTCCTTGTGTATGTAGTACAGGCCATGATAATAGATTTTTAAATTGGAAAATCCAAAAAGAATACAGTTAAACCTGTCTATAGCAACCCCTCTTAATAGAACCTTCCTCTCTATAGGGCCCGATTTTAAATATGTAGTACAATGCGATTTAAATTAAAAGTGACATGTCTATAGCACCCCTTCTCTGTTCTACCCTATTTTGGTGAGTCCCAAGAGGGGGCGCTATAGACAGGTTTAATTGTATATTAAAATATTGTTGTTTACCTCTTAGAGAGAAATAGTAATGATGTATAACAAAAGATAATTACAAAGTAATATAAGACCAAATCCAAATGAATAAATAGTGTGTGACATTTTGGTAACAAGATTATTACCTGAGTAGCGGTGGACCTGAGATCGAATCCAGCATTGGTCACTTTTTTTCTAAATAAAAAATTGCTTCAATGGCTTCTTATTCTAGCAAAAGTCCAACCTCACCAGTGAATGCAACAAATCAAAGATGACACATTTATAAGTGGAAAAGTCATACCAAGAAGAGATAATAGCTAACAGCAACAAGTTTCTTTATTAAAAAGGTAAAAACTTTGCGAGCTTTCGGACAATAGCATTCTTCTTGCTGCACATGACTGGTACAGAGCAGGAGGGACAAGCACCTGTTCTGTTCTCCCAAGAAAACAACAGTCTCTGATTTACAGACTTAAGTCTGGTCATCTACGGACAATGACTTTACAGAATGGTTGCAAGGTTTTCCCACTATGTACTAAGTGCAATTCTCAACCTGCAACCCCAAGAAATATTATTGACTGTATTGACTCATCCATTGATGAGCTCTACTCTTCCCCAGTAGACACCATCAACAAGCTTTACAAGCTTGATATCTTAATATGATTGAGTGGAGATAAGAAAGAAGAAGAAGAGCGTTCTTCTACAGGCTGAATACGAATACAGGTATTACAGCCTGTTAAGGGATGTCATTGTCCGAAAGCTCTCCAAACTTATATATCTTTAATGAAGAAACTGGCCGTCATTAACTTTTCTCTCTTCTTAAAAATGATACCTGGTGATTCCTCCTATTGCAAAAGTAAAATGGCTTTCCACAGTAAAAGCAGTTGAAAATTACCACCCACTATGATTATCATGGCCTGTTCCATGTGTACTATAGGTTTAAAAAAAAAGTTATATATTATTATTTCAGGTGATTCTATGTCCAAAGATATATGCTTTATCAATCAGGCTCTTCCAAGGCTATTAATTCAATAGTCTGGTGGTAAAAGATAATCTAGATGGTCTGTTCATTGGGTATTTTCATGAGAAAATATATTGTAAGGGTTTCCAATTGTCATTAACCTAATAATAAGTCATCTACCTTTAAAAGCTTTTTTTAAAAGAGTCATTCAGTCTTTGATGATGGTAACAACGCTGTTACTGAAATGTTACACACTGTTTATTTATCTTAATTTGGTTTTATTACCTTTTTTTTATTTCTAATCTATTAGCAGCAACACATAAAATTCCGAGGATAAGTTTCTTTTATTTCAAAAATTATATCTTGAGCTTTCGGGCGTAAACAGCCCTTCTTCAGGAATATTGGAAACAATTTCAAGTAGAAATGTTTGTACACAAATAGATGGTATCTTTCTTTGGTCTTGTATAGCGTGAGTGAATCTCATACCCACGTGATTTAGTTTAAATCTAAAAAAGCCTTTATAAAGAGAGGTGCCCCGCCCCCAGAAACATTGACCGATTACATTGAACATATTGAAAGGA